AATTAAAAAAATCATAATCGATATTTTTCGATATCTAAGACAAAATAATTTATCTAAAAATACTATAGATTTTAAATAAATCTTTTTAATAAATTTCGCAACAGATTTACCATTAAATATAACAGTACATATAATTCATAAATTTCACAATTTATACTATAAGCCCATCAATCTCGCTTTATCATCTAATACTTCGTCCCATTGTTTACCAAGCATTCTAACCCTATCAAAAGCTAAAATGATTCCACTATCAATACAATCCGTATGAAATAACTATCCATCATAATCACGTGCAATCTATATATACGTATATACGTGCAAAATCGCCAAAAAGGCACAACGTGACCAGTAAAACAATATCTCTATCGTTAAACGTTGTTCCATCAAATTGAAGCATCCGTCGCGCCAGGTAATACTATTTACGAGGCTATTTGATTGCAATCGATCGTAAACGGAACTATGACCAAGCCGTCTGTTTTCTTGATCACGAAAAAAGAAAGAAAGAGAAAAAGAAACACAGAGAGAAAATATAAGAAGAGAAACAATCGACTTCGCGAAAAGAGAAGGAATAACGCGTTTCGTGGAAGAATACAACGTGGTGGAGGGTCGAGGAATCGGGCATGACAGATACATACAGAAGGAATAGAAAAGAAAGTCGGCTCTGTGCTTGGATCGTTCCTTTGTGTCCGTGCAAGTGGACGATTCGTTGACCCGCGGTTGCAATTCCTCCTCCTGCTTTTATGTCGGCTCAATTGGCCGGCAAAAGTTGTCGACGCACCAGAAACAGCGCGTTCTTGCTGCACTATTCTGTCTTTCTTCCTATTTCGTAGATTATATCGATAAAGATGGCCGTCGCTTATGCGGGAATAGTTCCTGCGCGGTTGTGATAGGTCGGGATAGAGGTAAACGTGGATTTTGATCGTTCGATAAGTGTGCCAGATTATTTCTCGATCGATAGTGGATAATGAATTGTGGATTTAATGTATAATACTGTTAATAATAAATAGATATTTATAATACTTTTAGGATCCGGATAATTAGTTAAAATTGTGAAAAAGAAGAAGAAATAGTTCTATATGTTATTGTTTATTAATGATTTAAAGTAGGAATAAATCATTTCATAAATCATTATTTTAAATTATTTTTGATGGTAAATAGTAGAATAATATCTAAATTCATACATTAAAAGCCAAATTATCAGGATAAGAGTTAAAATTCGAAAACATTGTTTTAATGTTAATAAATGAAATGTATTGTAATTTTGGAAAAAGAAAATAAATTACCCGATTCTGGATGATACGCATAATAAAATCAGAATTTATTAATATATTTCCTCATTTGATTCCAATTTAATATTTTGTTTAACTTGATAGATTAAACGGATATAGTGTTACATATCTTTAAAACTATGAAATATTACATATAACCATGGAACCAAGGAGTATATTTTTAATGCTATTGCACTTGGAAATTTAATCTAGTAGATGAAGAAAATATCAAGAAATTAATATTATTTTTACAATCATTAATTAAAAAACCTCAGACTTAACTGAAAATTAAAAAGAAAAACCAATTTCTTTTAGAATATAAAATCACATTAAAAAGAAAATAATTTGCCACTTGACTCTGAATCTGAGATACAGATGTTGATTTTTTATTTTATATTTTCAAAATGACGCATCGATTGTATAAGAGGAAAATTACATTGCAAAATTATGATTGAACGTAAAGTTTAACTGTACTGTGCATTATATTTTAGAAATGTTTTAAACTTATTAAATTTTATGTTCATAAAATACTTGACTTTTGTTTAAATTTAAACTTATATGAAACAATTTTGACACTTAGCTGCAAAGTAAAATAATATATATTTAAAAAAACAAACATGTTACGTGAGTTAAAAAAAAATGTAAATATAACTACAAATATGAAAAATATTTAGTATATTTTTGGAGCATATAGCGAGCAGATATGTTTGTGTCACGTACGTGTCAATGTTGGTTTCGTTAATGGACATTTTAAACTGTAAAGTAAACCTCAATTTGCTAGACTATCATTGATAACATTTTCAAAAATTATTAACCATCGATAAATGTCACTAAAAATAATAAAACCTAAATTATTCAACAATTTTAAACGATTTAAACAAAATTAAAATCACTTTAAAATTGAATAGTTATATTAGAATTAAATACAAGTTATTTTAAAAATTAGATTAGTGATTAATTATAAATAATTATTCTAAATATTAGCTTTAAATATTAAATATAAACATAATTCATGTAAAATAGATATGAATATTAATTATTTCACTATCTATTATAAATCTAATTTTCACAGAAAGAAAAATTTATAATAACCACAGACAATATATTGTATACATCAGATACATTGTACACACATCTGAGAATCTTATTTTATCACATATTAGTCATCTTACTCGGAAACATCATACGACAATTACATAAGAGAAAAATGAGATTAATAAAAGACACGTTTGAACTACAATCTGTTCAATTTATTATCATTTATAATTAATTAATAACGTATATACTACTAATAAAAACACACAAACATTATTATTATTAAAAATTTGGGACAAAGCAAACCTCAGATGTTGATCCGGAAGATTAATTCTTATGTAGCAGATCCAAGTCACAGTGCACGAATGAAACCACAAAGAAAACAGACACAATAAAAACAGGCATCGTGAGTCATCAACACAGCGTGTCAATGTTCTTGCATCAACCAAACTCTTGTTGCCAGTACATGTTGACGATTCAAAAAATATAACTGAACTGAGTTCGCTTGATCGTAATCTCGTTGCAATAATAATCCGTAGCTTCCTTCGTTCAAGGATAACGACGATTTATTAACATGCACATTCTACTGCATATTTTCAAATAGTTGTTAAATAAGTTAAGTAAGCCATTTCCATGAAAAAATCTCGATGAAACTCGGGCTAAAATCTCATAGGTATTCCCCAATCGATTGAATTTAACTAGAATATCGTACGTGCGAAAAGCACGTGCAAACTTTTCCCACCGATAAACAACGTCAATCGAGATAGCAAGCTGTACCCACTGCAAACAATGGTACGGAGAAATCGAGCATGCCTGTCGATATTCTTTGTAAAGTGGTTTATGGTCTATAAAGAACGGGAGTTCAATTTGAAGACAACACTTGGATCCCATTAAAAAAGAAGGAAGAAAAAAATACGAAGAAAGAAACGACGAAATCTAAGAAACAGCGTAATTTATCAATAAAAACCTGTAAAGACAAACTTCTGTCGGAGGAAATTATCGAAAGAAAAGCCACTAGAATGGAGTGGTGTCGTAATCTGCAATAAAAGAAAATTGACGATTCCCGTTGAACTCGATCCAGATAACTATAAAACGAGATCGCCAAATAAGATAAGATACTATACTTTCTCGCTGACAATCAGGACGAAATGCACAACACACCGTGGACCCGGGTCACGGTGTCCCGGTCACGTTACTTCGCATCGTCGCGATTAACATTGTTGCTCGAAACTCCGGCGACGAAGTTTCATGGGACTTAGAAATTCTCTGGCCAATGCACAAACTCGTTCGTAACGAGTTCAGCTTGAAACTCCGCCGAGCACAACGACGTACCTCTCTGTTATATCTAGATTCCTGCCGACTAACGGGCCGATCCACCGTGGATTCCTCTTTGAGCCTTGCACACACTCTTTCAGCCTTTCACTGGTGTTCGAAACACTGACAACTAAACGTATATTGGTCGTTCTTCTAGCCTAAAGATATGCCAGCAACCGGAGCACAAAAATAGAATACCGATGTTCGATGTCAGCGTCCACGTCGTGATTGTTTGAAACATTCCATGAAGATTTTCCCGCCCGAGACGATCCACATCGAACGATTCATATGGTTCGACGAACACAGGAGACGTGAGTTGCGTGTCGACCGAGTTCGCTCGCGATACTAACTCGTGCCTCACCGCCACTTTTGCACGCTGGAGAACGTGCACTCTCTTGTATACCGGTTAACGATACTCCGTGCCGTTATCCCTCCTTTTCTGCTCGACTATTCCTCCGTATTCGTTGTCGCGTACACCAGTTCGGTCTTTATTCCTCAAATTGCGGCTACGTTGTTCTTTGTCTGTTACTCTCGAGCCTGTTTCATGGTTCTTGTGTATCTTGAACGACAAGCTGGATCACCAACACGTGAGTCGTTATCCATTTTTGGTTGGGGTAGGGAAATGTATTTTTATCAAGGTTAGTTTTGATACGAGTCGAGAATATTGATTTGAGATACATATTTCGATGAAAGAGGCGAAGTTAATGGGAAAACGATATTGCGCAATCGTTACGTGGAATTGCCTGATAATAATGAGTGGATAATTACAGTTGGTTACAAAAGTATACTTTACGTACGTTATAGTTAATAAAATGTATTATCAAAACCAATAAAAAATTCCATTTTTAATGAAACTTTGTAAATGTTAGATAGAATATAATGAATTATGTAATAACTTTTTTTTTAAGAAAATTTCAGTTTGAGGATACTTTTATAACCGAGTGTATTTAGATTGAACTCTTTTTTGATAAAAATGTTTGCATTAATAATCATTTTATCAAGTTCAAAATATTATATTATAATTAATCGATATACGGATTAGATTAGAAAATTTTTGCTATTAAAGTATTAATAAAGTATTAAAAGTATTAAAAGTATTAAAAGTATTAAAAGTATGGCAATAATAAATGGAATATAAAATATGGAAATAAAATGGAAATAAACAGTAACTACCTTTATGCGAAATACTTTCACTTGTATCAATACATCGTGTAATGAGGATTGCATAGCTGCAGGCGACATATCACGAAGTACGTAGATTACATCTAAAAAGAGAAACACATTCGCAATTACAAAATTGATATAAATTTGTATAACAATTTCGAGAAAAAAAAAAGGAAGAATTTACATTATAAAAATAATTTAAATTTTTATTCAGTTCACGCTTCGTTATGAATCCAATCCATTACGTGTAAGCTTTATATACTCAATCATTACCATATACGATCGTTTCTTTGTAGTTAGTTAATTAAGACAGTGGTGTATTTCGAATCTCCGCTTTCACCGTAATTCATACGTTCGAATCATGGAATAATGCATTAAAGGGAAGTTCGCCACTACATTGAAAAACGGAGAAGTCGGAGTTATCTCGTAAAAATAACTCGTTAAAAATTCCGCTTTGTTCGAGATACGGTCTATTTTAATTACACAACCGCCGGACGAAGGAACTTTTCAAAAATCGCATGGATGACGCGCGAGTGCAATTTAAGCCAGTCCCGTGATGAAATAGAGTCCGAGAAACTTATAGCCACGGAGACGAGGACGAATAATATCTAGCCTATATAATTCGGAACTACTTTATCCTCGAGTGGTGATAGAACAAACTCAGCGTTTCATCAAATGAAAAAGATGCTTCATCCAAACGAGATTTGTGCATCTTGCATCTTTCGTCCGAAGAAATTAATGACGTCTTCCATGGTCCTCGAGATTTTCCTGGTTTTCATTCGCCCTTTGATTCATCACTCGCATTGAATTAATTCTAGAGTGATCCAGACACTGTTGTTTTCATCGCTATTGTATTTGTCGTTACAACTGCATCTGAGAAATTTGTCGATTGGACGAATGCGGCTATTATGTACCTGGTAGTTTTCAATGGAGTTCCTCTTGTTATTCTTCCGAAGAATATTATCATCTCTTTCGTTCATTTTTATCTTTTTCCTTCTATATTTATCGAATATCAACTGCATGATATTTCTCTTACGTATATGTACATAATATTATAATGATTAAACATTAAATATTGTTCAACTGGAAATTCTGCAATATTCTGCAATAAAGTGAAAATATTAGAATGAAATATCTTTCTCTTAAAATTTTTAAAAAAGATATTCTCTGAAACGACGAGAGACATTTATATATTGTTTCCAATTTAAACGTAAAAATATGTCGCTATATTTTATTTAACGCGAGAGTTGATCTAGTGATACGATGCGTGGAAACAGGAACTCAAATACAATTTATTTTTCATAATGTTTCTTCCGTGATAAAAAGTTCGTACGATTAATCCTGACTAGTCCTGACATGTACAGTAAAATACACAATAGTAAAATTTATGTATCAACAAATATAATCGTTTTAATTAATAAAATAAAATACTATATTTATAAATATATTTTGAATGTACACATAATAAATTTTTCAATACACTTAAAAATTTCACGTTTCGAAAAACAAGAGATCATTAATCTTCGATGAGCATTTTGTTTATACAGATCAATTAATAGAGGCCTTGAACAATTACACGTTGAATTCTTTATTCATAGATAAAATACAATGACGGCACGAAGTTAACAAACTGCAGCCTCGAAGCGCGAAGGCAAACTTGTCGATTAAAACGGAACTAGTCGATCTAAGCTCACGTGGTACGAAACATGTCGTACAATTATGTAATTATGTAATTGAATGTCAATAATATGATTCCTTTAAAACAAAATATTTCTTGGAATGCAACCTTTTTGCGTGTATCTAATTATATATATATATATATTTACAATTACTTATATTGATTTTATATGGAAGAAATGTTATACTACTTGTTGATATCCGCGTTGGTTTTACAAACTTTTTATCATCGGAATATTGATTTCGATTAACTGATAAATTGAAATATATTTTCAGTATGGAATAATACTATGATCTGTAGAGCAATAAAATTAATAACACAGTCACGAAACAAAAATTTTTAATCTAATTTTCATTTGCTAAATATAAATTTTCAAGTAAACCGCGTCATAGAGTTAACCTGGCTACTAGCCAGACGATTGGTGAAAATTATATCGAGCAAACACAGAAGTAACTTGTCACAAAAAAATATAATTTCGTAGAAATTTAGTTTTTCATACTAGAACTATAACGTCAATGCTTTTAATAACACGTATTAATTTGGTATTAATTGCAATACTAACTTTATATTCATCTAGGTCAAGATTAATTACTACCAGTAGTATCCATGATGTAATACCACTGAACATCCGTAAAAAAATTTGAACATCGCGTTTAACACTCGGTTCTGCATTTGAAGTGCTTTTACATTAAAAAATACACGAAAGTTTCAAATTGTAACAATTTATTACTCTCACTACAGAGAGTACGCGTGATTTCTATGTGGCATTACATGGATATATACACATTTCGACATAGGAATTGTCACAATGAATCAGCGACCCAACGAATAAAATCGGAACTTTGATAATTTGTCGTTATACATTGATAGTTTCGTGACGTTATAATGATATATATGTATAATGCGATGCAAGTTCATGTTTCTTGCGCGATGAATACCGATATTCGATCAGAAAAAGAATAATTTATGCAAAAAATTAATATGCGTTATAAATATTCGTGGAAGTATAACATCATCGTTGAATTAAAATGTCAATCGAGAATCCATCAGTTTCGATTTATGAAGAGGACTCATTTTACCGAATAACAATGTGAATTCTTCGAAAGAGGTCGACGTTTGAAAAATTAAACATGAACCAGCCAGACGCATTTATTGATTCACCTTTCTATCTGCTCACTAGTAACTACATCCGTAATATACTCTATATATATATCTTATTTTCATACGACTATGCGAATTATTTCGACGAAGATTATCGTATACATCAGAAAAGTTATTGACTATATACAGAAACGATGCATGCTCTGTCTGATACACAACCGTGAAAACAGAACATGAATGTTTTGTCAGCTTGTGTTTGACGGGTTGAATCAATAATGAAGCGCGGTCAATATTTCACGATAACAAGCGAACAGATTATTTCTGAAATGTTCCTGACAAATTATTCGATACATGGACATATTTTCCCATGGTATTGAGTATATTATGCATGGATAGATAGAACGTTTTTAAGCAAAGTAAGCAACGGTTGTGTACAACGTTTGCTGGAACAGCACATGCTTCGGGATTGCACGAGACTGCTACTCAAGTTTATACATCGGTGGTGCCATCCATTGACATGTAGTCTCATTACGTATTTCTGCTTGGATAGTTTGCAAGAGTTAGCGTTACCAGCCGCGCGACGGCTTCAAAGTTTACGTATAATAGAGTAACGAGATTTCTACATTTAAAGATGCTATTATCTCAAGTATGACCCAATTCGAAAATATAACATTGTAAATATAGACGAAATTGAACTTTTCTTTATATTTTCTTAATTTTTATTTTACGATTTACCATTTATGCATACAAATTTAAGATATATTTACTATATATTTAATATCCATTTTATTATAACACATATGTATATGTAGTTTCTAAAAATTAACACAAAGATGAATATAAAGTCAGATTTCTTGCCGAAACTTACTTTCCATCGATATCATTTCCATAGTCAGGCAAAAGTCCAAAAATCTTGTAGGCAAATTTTCAAATCCGTACGACACCAATAATGTACGGCATATCACTGGTTTAACTGGATCGAGGCCAAATTGTTTTGTGGTCTACTTCAAACTTTATGCGCATCTACTTCAAACTGTATACTTTTTCAGTGCATCTAATCACGATCATGCATCAGGATTTGTATTTTTCTACAAAATGTGAAATATTCTCTATATTAAAGTATGAAATATTCTAATAAAAAACAACTATAGTATAAGCCATAAACTATAAGCTAATATAGCCATTTAAATTTTTGATTTAATAAAAAAAAATTATAATATTATCTATGATATATTATTATTTAAAAGTTATAAAAATATAAAATAGAATATTAAATATTGCATGGACATCAAGATAAAATCAAATCGTAGAATAAATAAGAACAATATATAAAAAATATTTTCATTTCAAATAATAATTTCATAAAAAAATAAAAATTAATTTTATTTACCATTTCTTAATATTATATGTACAATATTCGCGTTGCATACGAAATTCCCTCACCGCTCTAAAAAAAAATTAAACAATTATCGAAAATAATCCTCCACATGCGCCACACACCGTTGCAATATGCAATTTTATAGTAATAATAAATGCAACAATCATAATTACGAAAGAAATTGGTCCGCATTACAGAGAAATTGACAACATGAACTCGTGTATCGTAACGAGCTACAATTGCATAAACGTGCGTAAGCACATAGATAAAAATATACCCATAAACGAAAAATAGAGAGAACGAGAGGAAAAATGAAAAAAAAAAGAACGAAAGAATGAACAAGGAACGAAAGAACGCCGCACGTTTCATCAGTGGCTACACAGCTGCTGCATATGAAACACAGTTCATCCAAACTGTCCACGTGACGCGTGTGAATAAAAAAGAATCATATCTCGATATAGATGGTCATCGTGATCGTTTCCACGAAAAAAATCGCTATAGATTTCGTAAATATTCATTGAACAGCTCACGTTTCATCTACAAAGATGCTAATTAAACCAATTGAATTATCTATACATGACAGAGAAAATTTAACTCACGACTCGGTACGTTGCCAATCGTTTTATACAGATTGAATTGCAGATATTCGGCAATTTACATCGATCCATCACGAAAATTCACGAATATGTACAGGTTATGACACACTACGCGATTGAGTCGTAAGAAGAATACGTATTGCTGATAGCACGATTGCATCATCTTAACGAAAATTGGAAAGCAGGATGCGAGATAAAATCAAACGTACCGAATTTCGATAAATTTCGCGTTATTAATCATCAAGGAACAATGAAAAGTTTCTCGACGTAATCCGCGTGCCGTTCAAATGGAAGCAGGACTGTACTCCAATTTCTGTCTTTCGCCGTGCTCCTCCGTATTTCCCGTCTCTAGGCAACCGAGGCTCGTGATTATTCGTGTGTGTACGTATATGTTCCTCCTCTACACATCGATACTTTCTGCTCATTCGTGCGAGTGCACACGCGCTTGATGTACATATACCAACACGTATACAGAGAAATAGCATCGATTGCCTTTTAGGCAACGAGCGCATGGACCTATATTATCTGCTCACCAATCCCGACCGACTCGTGCACGCTTGATGATATGTTCCATTAACGCTTAATTTGATTGTAAAATCGGAACATCGGGCAGAACAGCTAAAAACGTTCGATTAGTTATGAGGCGCAGCGGACCGATTAGGATATTGCATCCTCTCTTAAACGTTTAACATCAATTAGAAGCAGAGGATTTGATCGAAAAAAATGATTAAATTAATTGTGAATCAAAGTTTCTTGAAATGTTTCGTAATTTTTTTTTATAATAGAATTTATGTTGGATATATATAAAATGTATGAAATAATATGAAACTTAGATAATATTAAAAATCATATTTTTAATAATAAATTAAGAATATATTTTTTTTCAAAATAATACTTAAAATATTAAAAGTTTATGAATATTCAATTTTTTTCTTTTTAATAGAATATTATAGTTTTTAATATTTGAATTTTCAATTATTGCAATGTTATTTTTTTAATGAATTTCATCTATAAAATTTATATCAAGCTATTATTTTCTCTCTGCTGAATTTAGTGAAATGTAAATGTTCGGATCTTTTATTAGATCGAACAACTGATGGTTTTGTATTGGAATTTTATTAAATTGCAATCACTAAACTTTAAAAATCTGAAATGTTTAACGATATTTTGTATTTATTTTTTATATTCGTTATAAAAAAGAATGTTATTTATTTAATATACATTTGCTGAAAAAGAATCATCAATTTTTTTGAAGTATAAAAATGATACAGTATGTATTTATTAATTTTTTTAAGAGAGAAAGTGTTAAAAAATTTAAAAATAGATTCATGGTAAAATCAAATAAAATGAGAAAAAAATTCAAATTGATGTATACAATTTTTGATATATACAATTTTTAGATGTATTTATTTTTATTTTATTGAAATAATAACGTATATGTATATATTATAATACTAGTAGATAGTAATTATCGAATCGTTTTGAATTGTGTTATATCTACTGAACAAGAAACTTTGAATACTGTTTATTCATCCATTCATTGCCGTTTCAAACGCATTCCATATATTGCACGATCGTTTATTACAAATGCAAACATGTAATTTACTGATAATTATTTCCAATAAGAAACACTAATCTTGATCAATTGATATTATTCAAAAGTATAACAAAAATAGAATAGAAATAATTTCTATTATTTATATTTATGAATAAGTTTCTAAAATTTTATTTTTTATCGTTCAATATTTTAATATAATTTTTGCAACTTTAGAAGGATATTTTCTTCATTTTTTTATTTACCTAAAGATT